GGGTGACCGTAGTTTTGACAGCTAGAGATGAGAAGAGGGGTATGGAAGCTGTTGAAAAGATCAAAGAATCTGGTCTCTCTGAATACATAGTTTTTCATCAGCTTGATGTTGCAGACCTTGCAACTATTGCTTCTCTAGCAGATTTTGTCAAAAGGCAATTTGGAAAGCTCGATATCTTGATATCACTTAAATTCTCTAATATTTTTCATTCATATGAAATATGAAATGACTGCTGAATGATTTTCATATCCCCCAATCATCATGTGCAGGTGAACAATGCAGGAATTGGTGGTGTGATAACAGATCGTGATGCTTTAACAGCTGTTGTCAGTAAGGTAAATCTTCTACATTTAGTCCTTTGATTTCTTTGCCACATAGAAAACAAAAACACTATTCCAATACAATTTTCTTTGAGAGTAACTGCCTTGATTAGAAAGTTTAATTTTCTTCTTATATCAATTCAGTATCAGGCGGGAAGATGTAAAGTCAATAAAAAAACAGAGAAAGATGAGAGGTAGAGAGAGAAAGAGAGAGAGAGGGCCGAGACAGAGAACACAGAGTAAACGGATAGCACAGCGGTATGAGAGTTTCAATCCCTGGGATAGGGGGCGGTTCCGACGGGAAGTGGGTGTCTATGACAAAAGAATCTACAATCAAGCGATTCCTTTCTTCTTCACTAACTTCCCAGAGGAGTGGTCGTTTGAACAGATGTGGCAAACCTTCAACAGGTTAGGATTAGGAAGGGTACTGGAGATTGATTGCCCGAAGAAGAAGGACAGATTTGGCAAAAGATTCGGGTTTGTTCGATTTCTGGATGTGAAGAATGAAGGTGAATTGGAAAGAAGATTAAATAATGTAAGGATCGGGGACCATGTACTACAAGCAAACAAACCGAGGTTCTCGAAGTGGGATGGCCAAGTGAAGGAGGACTCTAGCAACCAATCTATGTCTCGAAGCTGGACTCAACATGACATTAACCGCAGAATCAAAAGGCCATCATATGCTGAAGTGGTACTAGGACAGAGCCGAAGAAAGGAGGAAAGGCCTATGACCAGAAGACAGGAGGAAGGACCAACAAGTAAGATGGGAGGCAATGAGACCAACATGCATGGGCGTCAACAATGGCAATGGAAACCAAAACACCACTACCACCAATGGTCTGGCATGGAGATCAACATTGACAAGGACGAATATGCATGGTTGGAAAAATGTTATGTAGGTATTGTGCATTCAGTGAGCTTGATACCAAATCTGCAAGAGAAATTCTTCATGGAGGGGGTTTTCTTTTGCAATATTAGACCAATGGGAGGTAGACTAGTACTGCTAGAAGGCAAGGACTATGAGGATTTGAAGGAGCTTGTTGACACCGGAAAAGACTGGATGGGGCAATGGTTTGAGGATGTGAAGCCTTGGTCCCCTGCGACGATAGCTACAGAGAGATTTGCATGGATCCGATGTCAGGGACTTCCAGCACATGCTTGGAAGCTGGACACCTTCCAAACTTTTGGAAATCTGTGGGGAAACTTTATTACTTTAGATGATAGTACGAGCTACAAGAGGAGATTTGATTCCGCCCGTTTCCTAATCACCACACCATCCCCAGATTCTATCTTTAGATCCTTCACGACTAAGATTAATGGCAAGTTTTTTAGATTAAAGTTCACAGAAGAGGAGTCAACTAACAGCCTCTTCACCATGAGGTCCGACAGAGTAATTCATGCTCCCAGTGATGTGGATGATGAGAAAAGTTGTTCTTTAGAAAGCTCAACTGCTGGTGATCTTGACCTGGAGGTGGATATGATGGAGCAAGCTAAGCTACAGTCCGTTGAGGGTGAAGGCGACGGAGCTGAGGCCATCTCGGAGGATGACGTGGTGATGCCGAATGCCGTCGATGTAAATGGCGCTAAGGTGATATCCCGAGATGATGAAGTGGCTAGGTACTGTGATGAACCGAACTGTTCAACAAAAATGGGAATTGAAATAGTTAGAACAGATACCGAGGTAGTTGAAGAGTCAAAGGATATGGGCGAAAATCTGAATGGGTCTCGTGATTCAAATTCAAATGCATCAAGGCTGGGAGAAGCAAAGAAGGTAGGGGTTCACCTAGAAACGCCAGACAACATAGCTGAACAAGGGGACGTTGGGAATGCCAGTCAAATGAGCAAAAATGTAGCTGTGGACAGCTATGACATGTCCAATCAAAATAATAATATTGAAGTAAGCGGAATGGGCTGTGGGGTTGGAAGGGAAGTTGGGTCTCTTACGACCGGAATGGGCTTAAAAATGGTCATAGGTCCAAATCATAAGGCTGAAATAGGCTTACATGGGGCATCAACTGCAGATCCAATGGAGCAAAGCACGAAGAACGACAGGAAATCCAAGTTAAAGAACAGTGAGTCTGCCTCTTGTTTTTGGGATGATCTGGAAAGTGACTCAGGGAACGACTTTAACTGGATGAAAAGGAGTGACTTGTGTGGGAGAAGGAAGAGTAAGCGAAGGGCAAAATCATGCGCTTCGGTGTACAGAAAAACTGGGGGATTGGAGGGATTCTTGATTCAATACAAGAGGAAAGGGCAAAGGAAAGACTCCTTAAAGTGCTCGAAGCAGATTCTATTCGAAAATAACCTGGAGAAATTGGTTGCAGATGAATCGATCAATGACAGCAACATCCAAAATTGCAACAAAAGCTTTATACAGAGGAGCAGCACACGGAACATGGAGGCTCTATGGTCCCTGGCAAAAGAGCTAGGAGTGACAGCATGTGGAGAGGAGAATCAGATTATGCAGAAATTAAAAGAGATGGAAAGCCGAGACAGGGGAAGGCGAAGGAACGAAGAGGAGAAGAAATCCAAGAAAGATGACCAGGTGATGCCTCATTTCCCATGATTTTACTATCAATTAATATTAGAGGATTAGGTGGGATAGGAAAAAAAAGGGAGATTCGGGATTTGGTGGTTAAGCAGAAGGTAGATGTTTTGCTAATTCAAGAAACCAAAATGGAGAAAGTAGATAATCGCCTTTGTAGGATGGTTTGGGATTCTGATAATTTTGAGTGGGTTGCTCAGTCTGCTATTGGTGCATCAGGAGGTATACTAATAATATGGAACTCTAGTGTCTTCAAAAAGATTAGCAGTTTTGAAGGTGCAGGTTTTTTAGGAGTCTTTGGGCTGTGGGGAGATGATAACACCCCATGTTATTTTGTTAATGTATATTCCTCATGCGATCTGGTTCAAAAGAGATGCTTGTGGGAGAATTTATCAAAATTGGTTACTTCAAAAAAAGGGAACTGGTGTATAGCTGGAGACTTTAATGCCATTCGAAACCTCCAGGAAAGGAAGGGAGGCAGAAGTGTGAGGCGTGAGCTCAAGGAGTTCAATGACTTTATTGAGATGAGCAGTTTGGTGGACCTTCCTATGATTGGGAGGAAATTTACTTGGTACCAGCCAAATGGCCAAAGCATGAGTCGCTTGGATAGGTTTCTTTTTTCTAGTGAATGGATGCTTAATTGGTCCGACTTGAAGCAGTGGGGGTTAGTCAGGTCATTGTCGGATCATTGCCCAGTCATGGTGAAGAATGAAGCACGTAATTGGGGACCAAAACCATTCAAACTATTTAATGTGTGGCTGCAAAATCCTTCATTTAGAGAATTGGTAGAAAATCAGTGGAACAACTCAGATATTCGAGGATGGGGAGGTTTTGTGGTAAAGGAGAAACTAAAGCGGCTGAAAAACTGTGTGAAGGATTGGACACGGAATCAGGTGCAAGGAGTGGATAAACATATTGAGGAGGCAAAAGCTGAAATTGCAAAACTAGATGGTAAAGGGGAATCACAACAGCTAAGCGAGGAGGAATGTCTCCGTAGAAGAGATATGATGATATGCCTATGGGAAAATATTCAAATCAAAGAGGATATGGCAAAGCAAAAGTCAAGGAAGGCATGGATGAAAGCTGGGGATGCAAACACAAGTTATTTCCACCAGTGCATAAAAGGTAGATGGCGCAGGAGCGAGATAAACTCGTTATCAATCCGAGGAAAGGTTTTTGAGGGAGTCAACGAGTTGAAACAAGGAGTGGCAGAATACTTCATGAGCTTATTCACAGAGGAAGGTTGGAATCGGCCTGTTTTAGATCGTGTCGACTTTAAGAAAATTTCAGAAGCCGAGAGAAACTTCTTAACTGAACCTTTTCTTGAAACAGAAGTTAAAGATGCTGTATGGAATTGTGATGGTGCAAAAGCCCCAGGTCCAGATGGTTTTACTTTCGGGTTTTTGAAAACAGAATGGGATGTGGTTAAAGGCGACATATTGAAGTTTCTTACTGACTTTCATAACAACAGCAAGTTGGTGAGAGGATCCAATTCATCTTTTTTGGTGTTGATACCTAAGAAGGAGAATCCTCAAAGCATCGAAGAGTACAGGCCAATATCCTTAATTGGAATTATGTATAAAATTCTTGCTAAAATCCTTGCAAATAGATTA